GACTCATCGGGTCCCTCGCTGTCGGAGTCTGGTGGCAGCTCCAACGGCTCCTGCTGGGCCACAACATCTCTGTATCCAAAAGGGACCTGAAACATGCCAAAACCCTATGCTGAAGTTTTCTAACTACATTGGGCATAGGCTTCAATGTCCATGCAAAGCCAGGTTTAGCACAGGGATCATCAGGCCATCCACTTGGGTAATTTAAAATCACTATGGGAGTTCCCAAATTGCTGTTGCTGTTGCTTACAGCAATCAGTAGCAGAGAGCACACCTGAATCAGGTGCCTAAGACCTTAAATCCCGTAGTGACCCTTACGTTTTGATTGCTTCTAAAGCAAGTCTGCTGTGGATTGTCCTCTAAATGGATTCTGCTTTATACCTATGCGGTTACAAGAGCTAGGATTCCTTAAAGTAGAAAGGGAAAGGTTATTACTGTTCTAAATTTTGTGCTGGGTCTTTTGCTATTACTGCACATTAGCTATCCAGGGAACATGTGTCTTGGTGTATATGGAAACCCTTCCTGGTCATTGGGGAGCGAAGGAATTTGTTTCAGCCTGAGCTTAATGCCGTTTCCACCATCCTGCCCTAGCTGTTTTCTCTGCCCATGCTCTTGATCTATGCTTTGCCTGCCGATGCTCCTATTGACCCCCTTTTGATACATATTTTTTCCTGAAAATTTCTCAGAAGAAGGTAGGCAGATTATTATATCCTACAATGAGATTCCTGGGACTTCAACTTATCTCTCCAGAGATCAAAAGGGTCAGCCAATTTCTTCCCAATCAGATAGTTAATACTCTAGTTTCTAGTTTCTGCCTGTGCCATTCTGTTGCTGCAGGGGAGGTAGTAGCATTTTTAGGAGACATAGCAGCATGCAATCTAGATTGTCCATTTCAAAATCATATTATTACTTTTTTTAGCATGTGATTTTATCTGGATGGGCTTTTTAATGGGGAAAAAAAATCACAGCAACTCTACATTCAGGAGTGTGTTTTAGGCTGTTGTTCACTGATTGTTGTTTATTGATTGTCTGTTGTTACTCCTGGTGTATCTGGGTGATTGCTGGCAAGGAGGTGTCCTGGTCTTTTTGCTTCCTTGTTAGCTTTTTTATTGCCTCTTTTGAATGGTATGTAAACGTCGTCTATCTCTACGTGCCTGTTGATGACCGATTTGTGTGAATGCCTTCTAGGAATTCCCTATCAGTTTGGATTTAGCATGAGCACAGACTCTCATTTGAAACCATGGTGTGGTGAAATTAAGAAGTTTTCATCATGTCTTCTCACTGCTAGTCTCCTGCTTAAGAGCCAAGGTGGCGCAGTGGTTAAATGCAGCACTGCAGGCTACTGCTAGATCAGCAGGTCAGCGGTTAAAATCTCACCAGCTCAGGGTTGACTCAGCCTTCCATCCTTCCGAGGTGGGTAAAATGAGGACCCAGATTGTTGGGGGCAATATGCTGACTCTCTGNTCCACTGTTGTTGTTTTACTCAGCTGTTATAGGGTTTGTATTATTGTATTATAATACTGGGCAGCTGGGCTGGCTAGAGAAAGGTCTTTAAGGAGCAGGGCACCATCAGCCCAGATGCTAGCCAGTTTAAAGGCAGCCTGCCCTCACAAGTGTGTTTCTACAGTTTTCTCCAGGTTAAGCCTCTGGCTACGTGCTTCTCAACCATTTTGAGATGTGTGGACTTCAACTCCCAGAACTCCCTGCTTCTTGTAGATTCAGGCTATCCTTATCCATTATTTTCTGAAGTAGAAGCCAGATCAGTGCTTTTCAACCTTGGCAACTTTTAGGATAATCTGTGGAGATTCTCAGTCCTTGAGGTCATGGTTGTCTCAAAGGTGCTTTTTCAAAAAACAAACGCACTTTGGGTTTTGTTTTTGTTTTTTATCTTGAGGAAAAGATAAGATACGAAGAGTTCAACTCCCAGAGTTCCCCATGATGGCTAGGGAATCCTGGGACTTGAAGCCCACGCATGATAATGTTGCTAAGGTTGAGAAAAACTCTGGCAGAGGAACAGAAATCTGTAAGAAACTTAGAACCAGCCATGATTTGTAGAACATACTTTTCTATTTGTTGATCTAGAACCAGCAATAAATAAATCCAGTGAAAGTCAACATATATATGAGCATGCTGAAGATCTTGGTTGTGTTTCTGACATGCTATTTGTAAAACTCAGCTAACAAGCTCTGATATGGGGTCAATTAAACACCCTCCATCCAGCTTTATCAACAGCACTTTGAGGTTTGTGGCTTTTTGGAATATAAGCTACCTTGGATGTCCAGACTATGTAAAGTCTAACCCTTAATTTAGAGTCTGTTGCAGTCAGTGGCATCGGCCATAAGCCACCATGATGCCAAAATAAAAATTCTAAATGCAGTTGTCCATCCTCTTAACATGCCAAGCACAATCAAAGAAGCAAGATTCAGTTACATTTTTTAAAAAAATGAGTTTTGATGGCAAGAATTGGGGTATTCTATCCCTTCTTTATTCATTTTAATTTAGGTTTTCTGGAAGCTTGTGAATTTCTTTCCCAGAATGGTGGCATGATGGATTAAGAGTCTGTTTATTTCCTATGCCTTTAAGAGGATTTGTGTTCAGATGTGCCCCTCCATTTTTTTTCAGTCCTAGCCCTTTCTCTCATTGTGATGTCATCAAGCAGCTGCTACTATCACCTATTTGCATTCTAACATTGAATACAAAATATAGTTGTCATTTATGGAGCCCTTAGTGTTTTCGGAGTTTGATTGCTTGCAGATGTTTCATGCAACTGGGTAACATCATTGCTACAAGTGAACATGGGGTTTGCTCCTTATTTATATACAGCAATTTGCCCTGCCAGTGTTGATGGGAATATGCTTTTGTCTGATTTCATTACTGGGGTATTGTTTGAAAGAGAAAGCAGAAGACAATGACTTAATTAAGGAACTACTAAGGAGAAAATCACATCCCCATCAACATTGCAGTGTTACTGTAACAAGAAGCAAACCCCGCACTCACTAGTACTGATGATGTTATCTAAGATGATGGGAAGATTACAAATGACATGACTTTGAGACACCGCAATGACTGTTGTTAAGTGAATCATTGCAGCTATTAAGTTAGTAACACAGTTGTTAAGTGATTCTGGCTTCCCCATTGACTTTGCCTATCAGAAGGTTGCAAAAGATGATTGCGTGAATCCCCGGGACTCTGCAGCCGTCATAAATATGAGTCTTTTTTTATCATGTAAGAGTGGGGACATTGCAAAAGTTGTAACTGCAAGAACCAATCATAAGCTACTTTTTTTCTGCTGTTGTAATTTCAAGCTAAAGGGACATGGTGGCTCAGTGGCTAAGACGCTGAGCTTGTCGATCAGAAAGGTCGGCGGTTCTAATCCCTACCGCCATGTAACAGAGTGATCTCCCCTTACTTGTCCCAGCTTCTACCAACCTATCAGTTCGAAAGCACATAAAAATGCAAGTATAAAAATAGGAGCCACCTTTGGTGGGAAGGTAACAGTATTCCGTGCACCTTCGGTGTTTAGTCATGCCTGCCACATGACCATGGAGACGTCTTCGGACAGCGCTGGCTCTTCGGCTTTGAAACGGAGATGAGCACCGTCCCCTAGAGTCGGGAATGACTACCACATATGTGTGAGGGGAACCTTTACCTTTAATTTCAAACTGGCACTAACAAATGCTTTTACATCGAGAATTTAAAGAGAGGAGAGAGGAGAATCCTTACTATCATCACTATTTAGAAGCAACAAAGGGGCTGTGCGTATCTTTTGACTTGAAAATCAATAGGGTGAAATGGGAAGGGCCTAAATAAAGACATCTTGTATTGTTGTACAGATTGGGTAGATAGAACAGGTGAAGGTAATTGGCTTAGGTAATTGACAATAAGTTATGCTTAAATCGGCTAGAGGGAAGAAGGCTTGAATCATTCCTCTGCGGGGAAATGGGTCAGAAGAGTTCTAGCATATTAGCTCAGGTTGGAGAGAAATTAAACAGGAGAAAAGCCAAATTTGAGGTGGTTCCTGCTGAGGAAGAAAGGGTTTGTATCTAAAGGCTTCTTTTGGTGTAGCATGCTTTTGAGAAAGTTGGTCTTTTCAGTTGCTGGGTTTGCGTTGCATGCTAGCCTACAATTTAATCATGGTTTTTTAAAATATGCTATAGTTTTAGGATTGTGCCGAGTCTTATAAGCTAAAACCAGTGGTGGTTATTGCTATAACATACTAAACCATGACTAACCAAAGAAACGGCAGCTTAGTTAGCTTTGCAGCTTATGTCTGTAATATATTAGGCAATGTTGACTGGAGGTTGGAATTAACATTTTAAAGGTAAAAGCATGCAAGTTCTGAAATGAAAGGATACATTCTCCTTCAACCCATTTCAGAACCCTAAAAATACACCTAATACGTCAACCTCATCAACGTGGGTGATCTGGAGAAGTCATTGGTATAGACCTGTGATGGCAAACCAATGGCACGCCTGCCACAGGTGGCACGCAGAGTCCTCTCTATGGACATGCGAGCTGTCGCCTTAGCTGCGCATGCGCGCACGCACCTCCCACTGACCGGCTGATTTTTGGTTCTCTGCCACGCATGAGTGGGGCATGTGGGAGATGCGGGCGCATATGGGATGTTGTGTGTGCATGCACAGAGGGGTTCACTCCCCCACACACAGCCCGTTCTTGGTCCCAGGAGGCTGCAGGGAAGCCTACTTGGCCCAAAATGGCATTGGGGGGGGGCAAGGGGGTGCATGGGGTTTGCACACCCATATGCGGGGGGGGGGAAGTTGCGCGTGCATCCATACGGGGTGGGGGGGTGTTGCGCACACATTGCATTATGGCTTTGGGCACGCGACGACCAAAAGGTTAGCCATCACTGGTATAGGCTGACAATGATCTCTTCTGTAATGAACCATAATGAAATAAACCACAATTAGTATTTTATGTAAGTCTGGATAAACATTTGCAAATTAATCTTAAGTTTTGAATTGCTGTTCATTTCTCCCCCCACCCTCAGGATGACGCCCATCAGGGATTAGCAGGGGCATCAGCTGTGGTGGAAGTTGAAGCAGGTGAAATAGGTAAGTTTGATGGACGTCCATGATTAGAAGTCGGGGAAGGTGCTGCTTTCCTCTGCAGCTATAGTTTGAATCCTATTGACTCCAGAACCCCCTAAGAACCTTGTGTCTATGCCTTTCTCGAGATCCTGAACCCTCCAAAGAGGACTTGGAGGTCTCGTCGGGAGCCTTGTCTCCTCGGAAGACCAAAAGCACGTTGGGAGCAGTAGGGGACGGCCTCCTGGTCTCCACCCGAAATGGGGATGATGGCGCCTGGACGCAAGCGACGGGGAGTGGAAAAGAAGGAGGACGTGTGTCTCCAGAATCAGAAGGCCCCTTGGCCGGATCAAACCCTAGTCCCACTCCAGGGAGCAAAGGCCTACCTGGTAAGTCGGGAAGGGGATTGGTGAGGGAGGAGCATGTCAGTAGGAAGGTGGCTTTCCTTTGTAGAGAAAAAACAAGAATTCTCTAGATCAGGGGTCTCCAACCGTGGCAACTTTAAGGCTTGTGGACTTCAATTCCCAGAATTCTTCAGCACTGGCTGGGAAATCCTGGGAGTTGAAGTCCACAAGTATTAAAGTTGCCAAGGTTGGAGACCCCTGATCTAGATGATTTTTTTGGCATTATGGTGATGAGACCTGTAAAGCCAGAGGTGTCCAAACTTGGGAACTTTAAGACTTGTGGACTTCAACTCCCAGAACTCCCCAGCTGGGGAATTCTGGGAGTTGAAGTCCACAAGTCTTAAAGTTCCCAAGTTTGGACACCCGTGTGTAAGGTTGTGGTTGAGTGACTTCTGTTGGGTGACGATGTGCTATTTTACATCTCTATTCTCTGCCTGGTGTTGCAATGTCTAATTTAGAAGCTCCCCTAAAAATTTGGTATCATGTGTTAAGAGGTTGTCTTGGACCAGAGAGATCCAGAATGATATTAGTCTGCTTTCATCTACATGTTTTATTAGCTAAGTTTTATTCATACATATTTAACATTATTTGTGGCCTGAGCCAACCAGGGAGGAATCTGGAGGAGAGAGCATAATAACACAAGGAATAAGGATTGTTCGGGGGGGTGGGGAACCCCAATGTATTCAATCCAATTGGAAATATCCATGATGGACACCTGCATTCAACTCCTCTATAGAGCCAAAGGCTTGTTGAAGAAGACTTATTTTACTGGTTCATGTTCAACCGCAACAAGAGAGACTGCAGTGGCTAGAGTGGCTAGAGTGCAGTACTGCAGGCTATTTCTGCTGACTGCAGTCTGCCTGCAATTCAACAATTCAAATCTCACCTGGCTGAAGGTTGACTCAGCCTTCCATCCTTCCGAGATGGGTAAAACAAGGACCCAGATTGTTGGGGGCAATAGGCTGACTCTGTAAACAGCTTAGCGGGGGCTGAAAAGCACTGTAAAGAGGTATATAAGTTGCTATTTTGTGTGAAACTGTTCTATGGCTTTTCTGTATCTCTATCTCGGCTGCATTCATGCAATCTACACTGGGTGTCCTAACATCTTCATCCCCTTCTCTTCAGGTCATGCCGCCAAGACTTTCCCATCATCCCCCAGCAAAACAGCTGGCCCCAGCCGAGCCAAGATGTCCCTTACCGGGACCAGCAAGTCCCCAACTATCCAGAGTCTGGCTATGCGCTTACTAACTATGCCTGGATCACGTCTTCCAGGGGATTCTGGATCTCCCACAACAGAAGCCCCAGATTCGGCCCCTACTCCTGCTCCGGCAGCGGCCTCTCCTGCTCAGCCTTCAGCATCAACCACTGAGGAAGTCAAGCCCAAGGTCCACCGAGCTCGGAAAACAATGTCGAAGCCCAGCAGCGTACAGGTAGGCTTGGAAATGTAGCCCCTGCCCAGGGAAGGTGGTCCAAAGATCTATTGGTTGATTGTGCACATATGTGTCAATGTTGGCAGCTTTTAAGATGTGGGAACTTCAACTCCCAGAATTCCTCAGCCAGCTTGCTGACCGAGGGATTCTGGGATTAGAAGTCTGCACATCTCTGTGTAATCAAACAGCATTCTATATCAAATGTTCCTCAACCTTGGCGGCTTTAAGAAGTGTGGACTTCAACTCCCAGAATTCTCCAGCCAGCTTGCTGACTGAGGAATTCTGGGATTAGAAGTCCAGACATCTTTAAAGTTGTGAGGGTTGAGAAACATGGATGTACAGGGCTGTTTGTATTGTATTGTAAGACAAAAATGGCACGTATGTTTCCCCACATGGGTAACTTACAAACTTGTTGCTTCTTCCAACAACTGATGGCACAACTGGGAGAACTAGTAGTTCATGTCTATCTGATCAAAAGCGTTCTGGGAGACTCCATATCTGTCCATGCAACCTGATTGTGACATGGCTGCACATCAAGACACATTTCTCCATTTCTTTATCCTAACTCTTCTCGAAACTCAAAATACCTAATAGTATTTCCTCAGTGAATATTGGATTTCTTTTCCTTATAACCAACAAAATTACAATTGTTTTTGATGCTCAAGAATGACTATTTTTTGGGGGGGGGGGAATAGATCATCTGGTTTGGAATCTTTTTACGTGGTATCTTCCAGCTGGGAAGATTTATCTGTGATTTCCATTTCCCTAAATGGCCATCCTAGTGTAAGGGGCATGATAGTCTAACATACCTGGTTGGTACTAGGCTGGAGAAGCTGGCAAGCTGGCTGGGGAATTCTGGGAATTGAAGTCTACTTCTCTTAAAGTGGCCAAGGTCGAGAAGCACCAAACAGGATTTTTGAATTGTTTTTCTAAAACAGCTGCAAAATTCCATTCTGCAAAATATTGGGCTTGCATGATCAACATTTTTCTGTTACTGTACCACGTGAGATTTCTGCTAGTATCAGTTGATAGGACTGTCCCAAAGGTACTTTTTCAAGAGGCAACTGGACTTTCTGGTTTTTATTTGAAGACGTTTCTCTTCTCATCTGAGAAGCTTCTTCAGCTCTGAGTGGATGGTGGGGAATGGAAGGATTTATACTCCTTGCAGACAGCTAGTTATTTGCATGAAAGCAAATGCAAATTGCATGAATGCAAATGACCAGCTGCCTGCAAGGAGTATAAATCTTTCCATTCCCTACCATCCAGTCAGAGCTGAAGAAGCTCCTTGGATGAGTCTTCAAAGAAAAACCAGAAAGTCCCATTGCCTCTTGAAAAAAACAACTTTGGGACAACCATGACCTGGATGACTGAGAATCTCCATAGACAATCCATATAGCTATATCTAAAACAAAATGAGATCATGCCTGTATGGATGATTGGCCGCCTTTTTCTGCTTCCCCCAAGGTGCCTGAAAAAAGGGTCTCAGAGATGTTGCATTTCCGTGTCTCGGATGACTTGAGAAGCATTTTAGAACCAGGTACGGAGGCTATACATTTAAAAGGGTGACTGGGCTGGTATAGAAATATATTTGGGACTAAAGGCATTGGCTAGAGCAGATAACTCAATCCTAGTCTTCAATGCTTGCTGGAGATTCTGGGAGTTGTAGTCCCATCACTGGAGAAGGGAGGAAGGGTTGTTAAGTCTGCTGGATTCTAATTTTCACTCTTTTTC